ACAACAGGTGGCTTTCAATTATCAAATGGGTTGCTAAAACTCAGCTAAAGACTACCAAGAGACAAGCCTGTAGCCTGACAAAAATCAGATTTCTTGCCTTTCACGGAGGGAGGGCACTTCAGAGAAGTGCCACTAGACAAGTAGGAGGGGCAATGTCAATTGGCCTTTCACTGAAGGATTTTGAAGATGGTCTAACTGAAGCAGGCATCAGTTTTGTATTGGTTGTTGTTTTGAGGTGGGATTAGAAAAAGAGGGAATTAATTAGGAATTAGGCGCTGTCATGAGGTGGAGTTAGCTGAGCATTTGGGTATCCTTAGTAATAAATTAAAATAGCAAGTGGTCTGAGGCACCACTGGTCAGTAATTACCCAAAGAGGGGGTCATTATAGTAATTTATATCTGCCACGTGACCATTGGCAGAAGCAATGTTTGCTATTAACTTGGCAGCTGGCTTTACCTGTGTCTCTCCTCCCAGCCTGATTAGTGGGAGGGCTTCTTTTCTCTTTTCAGTCCAAGTTGATTTTCATTCTTTCAATTCCAAATACATTTTAAATCTTTCAAGTGTCATGGATTCTAAATTCACCTGAACATTCACTAGACCATGTTTTCTCACTGGCACGTAACTAACTGTAAGAATTTAGAGTTCATCTTGATTTAGCCTAATAGAAACCTCCAAAGCAAACATCAAGCAACCCTAAAAGTTGAGAGGAAGCCAATTTAGAATATATAGAACTTCTTAAAATGTTCTACTACTCTGCATTTTGATGACGCCATGGCACTCACTTTTGAAGTTATCTTACTCTGAAAGCTTAGTGGCTCCTTGCTGGAAATAGCATTGAATTTGAAGCTCACCATAATTCAACTCTGTTCTGTTTTCATTCTCTATTTTTCCATGTATTTTATGTTTGAGCCCCACCAGATGGGCCACTGTGTACTTTCATGTCTCCATGCCTTTGCATACACTTCCCTTGTTCTGAAGGGATCCTCTGTCCCAGCCAAAGTCCAATTCTTTTTTTTTTTTTTTTAGATTTTATTTATTCATGAGAGACACACAGAGAGAGGCAGAGACATAAGCAGAGGGAGAAGCAGCCTCCCTGCAGGGAGCCCAATGTGGGACTCAATCCCAGGACCCTTGGATCATGACCTGAGCTCAACCACTGAGTCACCCAGGAGCCCCTCAAAGTCCAGTTCTTATTTGCCTGATGCAAGAACCTTTCTCTGTGAAGCCACTCTTGAACCACCCTGTTGACACTACTGGCTGCTTCTACACTACTGGCTGCTTCTTTAGTTACATACTCCCATATGTAACTCTGCTTAGCATTACTTTTGTTCTATCTCCTAAGCACACAGTGGTTTTTAGAGTTATTTTCGGTATTTGGAGAAAAAAAAAGTTTATTTTACCTGCTCTCCATATCCTAAAGCAAATTCTTCACCTGGCGTTCATGATTCCATTATGGTCCTCTGGAGGTATGGGAAGGTGGCAAAGCTTCTGGAATTTTTTTTTTATTATAAATTAATTTTTATTGGTGTTCAATTTACCAACATACAGAATAACACCCAGTGCTCATCCCGTCAAGTGTCCCCCTCCGTGCCCGTCACCCATTCACCCCCACCCCCCGCCCTCCTCCCCTTCCACCACCCCTAGTTCATTTCCCAGAGTTAGAAGTCTTTATGTTCTGTGTCCCTTTCTGATTTCTTCCACACATTTCTTCTCAGCTTCTGGAATTTTATTTGTAAATATGTATGTACATGTTTATATAATTGTGTGTATACACACACACTTTGTTGGGAAGAGGGTCCGTAACTTTCATTAGATGCTCAAAGAGATGTGTGTAACCCAAAAAAGGTTAAGAACAACTATTAGAATATTAGACTGTTCTGGAATGGGCACTCTGCCACTCAAACAGATGGGGGAGATGACTATAAGCAACCAAGAAATCATGAATGTGCATCAAATGTGGGTGCTTAGGGCATGGTACCCAGCTGGGCAGGTGGAGAACGCCATCCACCCAAAGCTGCCAAGGGCTATTAGCCAGTGTTGATTAAACTCTGGACTGCGCTTGCTCTGACTTTTGGAAAGTGTAGTCAAATCCAGTTCTCCCCAGTCACGGCACGGGAGCACAGTAGTTGGCTGAGTTTATCCACATAAATGCCCTGACTGTGCCTTTGTTGAGAAGCTAAGTTGGCAGTGGCAGCAATGCTGCCTGTTCTTGTCTACTTTTTCAATTCCCAGATAAATATTAGTTTGATTAATAACCATGTTCCAGTTAGTCACAGGAAGGATGAAGTAGACCAGAATTCTGGAGGGAGAATATAATGTAGGACTTATATCTCCTCTCCATCCTTCCAGTAAACAGAAAAACTTCTCAAAAAGATTACATGATGCCCTATCTCCCTGACCCTCTCATTATGACACAGGAGTCAAGTATATAGGTTGCACTATGATACAGTCATGTTTATGACTTGACCTCCAGTGTAAGGGATAGACAGGCCTTTGATTAGACTTAAGTACCCATGCTAAAAAGATCATGATTCTGAGAATATTTTTCCTGCCACTTTCTCCTTTCATGTCTTATTTAGATAATTCTTTGTGTAGAGACAGGTTAACTCATGACAAAACACATGAAAAATAGGTATATTTTCAATTGTCACATGCATTCACATGGCACTGAACTAATAATCATTTTGGTACTTGTTGAAATCACATTAAATTATTCCTTCTCACTATAGTATACTAAAAAAAAAAAAAGAGCAAAGTAATATGCAATTCAGGTACTTGAATTGTGAAAGTAAAACTCCACATTTCCCCTTCCCCCAAAGTGACTAGTTGTGTTTACTTCCTTCCTTCCTTTCCCTCCCTTTCTTTTAAAGGTTTATTTATTTGAGAGAGAGAATGTCCATGAGTGGGGTGAGGGAGAGGAAATCTCAAGCAGACTCCGTGCTGAGCTGGATGTGGGGCTCCATCCCACAACCCAGAGATCATGACCAGAGCAGAAATCAAGAGTCCAACAACTTAACTGAGCCACCCAGGCACCCCTGTATTCCTTCTTTCTTTCCTGCTTTCTCTCTTTAAAGAATTGATTGATTGATTGATTGATTGATTGACAGTGAATGAGGGGAGAGAGAATCTGAATCTCCACAGTGAGCACAGAGCCCCAGGTGGGACTCAATCTCACACCCACCAGCTCATGACCTAGGCTGAAACCAAGAGTCGGAAGCTCAACGGGCTGAGCCACCCAGGCGCCCCTTTATTTTTTTTCAAACAAACCAAGTTACAAAAAATCCTACTACATAAAATGCATTATGAAAACCAAAGGCAATTCTTTCAAAAGCAATCGTCACAGCCTCTCAACCTAGCTATGCATAAATGGAGGAGCTGATTTCTTACTTTTAAAGGGAATAAAACTTGTATATAATCAAATCAATCCCTATCAGTGAGTTCCTTGGGGCGGGGGGAGGGGGGATAAAAGAAATTTTCCAGATCAGTAGTTGGAAAAGTTGAGTGTGCATCAGGATCACCTGGAAGGCTTGTTGAAACACCAATTACTGGGCTTCACCCCTAACGTTTCTAATACAGTAGATCTGGAATAGAGCTAGTTCCCAGGTGGTGTTGATGCTGCTGGTGTGAGGACCGCACTTGGATAACCACTGACCTAGGCCTCTAAGGTCCAAAGGTATTTGTAATTGATTCATAAACCAGAACACAACATGTTTAAAAAACCTAGCAGTACAAGGTACCATAAGGGTTCAAAAGAAGCTTCGGTGTCTGTGTGGTGGAAGAGTACGCTGGGCTGGCAGGATCTGAGCTGACTTCCAGGTCTGGATGAAGATCATCAGAGAGGAAGACAAAGGGCATCCTAAGAAGGATAAAGGAACCAGGTTCATTTGAGCTAAGACTGGAGAGGTACATGGAGACACGTTCGTGAAGGGCTTGCAATGCTATCCCGTGAGAAGTTCAGATTTTAGGCACCAAGTAATAATCCTCCACCCACACGCTCTCCTCTCGTGGCTTGCAGGCACAGAGGTTTAGCTCTATGTTACCACCAACATGGTAGTTCTGTATCATATCAGCTTAGGTGTCTGATAAGATCCCAACTTAGACCTGGAGGTGGGGTATTTGCAATGCCAACTCAACTTACTTTTCCCTAGGTTGCAGGGATGGGAAAGCTGGCAACTCTGGGCTGCCTCCTTAAGTGCCTAGTAAAGCTTGTCCGAGTACGGAGTGAGGTTGCCGACAGCAACAGGCAACACCCTAGGTGGCTGGGGCAACTCTGGCTCTCGCTCCTCCGAGGGTCAGAAATGGGCACGACCACGCTGGGATCCAGTGCGCTGCAACCTGGGGGGTGCGCGTGTGGGAATCACCCGGAGGGCCGGTGAGAACGCAGGTCCTGATTCGGCCGGTCTGGGGGGCGCACCTGTGCCCAGCCCGCGGAGGACGCCGCTGCGGCGGGCGCGCTCTGAGGCAAGGCACCGGGGGGCATCCAGGACGCCCTGGGGGGCAGGGGCCTGCGAGCCTCACGGGGAGGCGCCTCCGCCCTCCCCAGGTGGGGGGTGGGGGATGGGGGCGGGGACGGAGAGGAGGGCAGCCGGGGCGCGGCCGGGGCACGGCCGGGGCACGACCGGGAAGGTGCGGCGCGGAGGGCGGAGGGCGGAGGCGCCGAGGGGCGTCAGGTGCGAGCGTGCCGGGGACGGCGGGGCCGCGCCGCACGCGGCTGGGCCCGGGCGCCTCTCCTCCTGCCCGCGGCGCGATTTCGGCTCTTTCGGCCCTCGGCGGCTCCCATCGCGGCCCCCGGGAGCGGAGAGGCGGCGGCGGCGGCGGCGGCGGCGGCGGCGGCGGCGTGGTGCGGGCGGGCGGGCGCACCCCCACCCCGCCGGCCCCGGCGCTCCGGCTCCCGGAAGCGGAAGGGGAGCGCGCCCGGCTCGGGCGACGGCGACAGCGACGGCCGCGGCGCCGGAGGAGGAGGAGGAGGAGGAGGAGGCGGAGGAGGAGGAGGGGGAGGAGGGGGAAGAGCGGCTGGCGGCCGCGAGAGCAACGGCGGCGAGAGGCGAGCCCGCCGGCGCCGGTGAGTGTGTGCAGGCGCGGGGCCGACGCCCCCCCCCCCCCGCTCCGCCGCTCCCCTCCGCTCCCCTCCGCTCCCCTCCGCTCCCCTCCCCTCCCCGCCGGGCCCCGCCGCCCTCACCTGGCCGCGCTCGCGCCGCGCGCCCTGCCGCTCCCCGCACCTGCCCCCCCGCCCGGGACCGGCTCGCCCGGCTCGCCCCGGCGCTCTCGGAGCAGCTGCCCCCGGAGCCGCGCCCGCCAGCGCCCCCTCCTAGAACTGGGGGTGGGGATGGGTTCCTGCTCTAGTCCCAGCGATTTGGGGGCGGGTTGGGCTTATTTATTTATTTATTTATTTAGCCTTTTAATTTATTCAGCCTGTGCCCCGAGCTCCTCGCCTGTGAGCCTCGTCCCCCCGCCCGCAGACCCGCGCTGGGCCGTCTCAGCCTTTCATTCACTTGCAGACCCCTGGCGCGCGGCTGCAGAGGACCAGCAGCGGCACAAGTAGTTGGCTCCTTTAGTGACCTTCTGGTACCCCCACCCCCACCCCCACCCCCACCCCCACCCAAGGGGGATTTTGAGAAGACAGCTTCTGGAAGGCCGCAGTTTGCACTTGTTACCATTCACTATAATAAATAGGTCGCTGGATTTTAAGTGGAGAGTCCATTTAAAGTTGTGGTTTCTCGAGATATATTTGGGTCACATTTTAAAATCCCTTGTGAGTCAGAGGAGGATGTCTGTATCTCTAGGGCTGAGGGAACCTGACCGGTTATTACTCGAAGATATTGCAGTGTAGCAGTCCATAAAAGTACACGAGGGGGAAAAAAAAATCAAGGTCATTATGGGTGGGTCATAAATCATAGTGTAAAGTTACAGCCTAAAAGACGGCTAAGGATAATTAAGCGCAAGTTAAAAAAGATGATGTGTCAAATGGGTGCTCAGCCTAGGATGCTAATGTGTATGCATCCTGAAAAAAAAATTCACTACCTTCCTCGTGGTAAAAATAATAACAGCGATACTTACCATTTGATGACTGCTTGACTTGTGCCTCCTGTGGCTTTTTTTTTTTTATTATTTTTTATTTTTATTAGTTACACAGAGAGAGAGAGAGAGGCAGAGACATAGGCAGAGGGAGAAGCAGGCTCCATGCACCGGGAGCCCAACGTGGGATTCGATCCCGGGTCTCCAGGATCGCGCCCTGGGCCAAAGGCAGGCGCCAAACTGCTGCGCCACCCAGGGATCCCTCTCCTGTGGCTTTTTGTGTAACGTCTTGTTAAATCCTTTCATTGCTTTAGATTTTACTTATTTTACAGGTAAAACCCAGAGACGTGTTTTATTTTGCTTTAGTTGCACGACCTCTTAATGGCAAAAAGACTTGAAGAAGAGGTGAGGTGAGAAATCAATTGGAAGGAAAGAACCAAGTGAGATTTAGTGTAGTGGAAAGAAAAACTAGATTCTGTACCCGTTGCTGTCACAGTCTAGCTGTAGGGTCATGATAGGTCAGTGACCCATCCTGTATTCTCATCTATACAGCTAAGGAGTTAGGCTAAATTATTTAAGGCTTATTTTAGCTTTTCCATACTTAGCATATACAACATTTGTAATTAATTTAAAACCCTTTAACATGTTAAAGGCACATTTTAAACTAATACCTGAAGAAGTATTAGGAAAATTATATCACAATATAAAAAATGTATATTTCCATATTTTTGGGAAATTGGTGTAGTACTATTATAGAGTTCCTCATTTTGGATGTAAAACAGTGGGATCATATTAGGTCCCTTCAAACACTGGTGATTTCCGTTACATGTAACATATTTTAGCAGTTGTAGTTGGAATGAATGGTATAGAGTATATTTTAAATAATATGGTAACCATGTCACACTGCCTATCTCTGGGGTGTTTTACTTAATAAGAGAAAGGTAGGCATTTTTAAAGCACACATGTAACCATCAGCTTAACAGGTAGATCCTAAAGAAGAAGTGACCAATCATAAAATTTTTACTTATTTGCCCATTGCCGGATTTTTTTTTTTTTTTAATTCACAGGGACTAATAGCCTGTGGAAAAATGCATAGATAAAATAATGCCATGTATTAGTGAAGAAACTAATTAGAAGTCTAGTATTGTCTCCATGGAGTCTTTTTCTGGGATTGTAATTGAGTGTGAGTGAATATGAACTTTTTTTAGCATAGAAGGCTACATACAGATAATATCAGTATTAACAGGGATAACAGGGAAGGCAGAGGAAAAGCTATTTTTATTACCAGAGAGTTTTTCCCTAAGCTCAGTTTTACTTTTATACTAAGGCATGAAGGAATTTTATATTGCTTTAGTAAAACATTAGGACTCAGATTCAGTTTTTTTTTTAATTTTTATTTATTTATGATAGTCACAGAGAGAGAGAGAGAGAGAGAGAGAGAGAGAGAGACAGGCAGAGACATAGGCAGAGGGAGAAGCAGGCTCCATGCACCGGGAGCCCGACATGGGATTCGATCCGGGGTCTCCAGGATCATACCCTGGGCCAAAGGCAGGCGCTAAACCGCTGCGCCACCCAGGGATCCCTCAGATTCAGTTTTTCAAGTGCACTAAATATAAACAGCATTTTAATGTTATAAGTGCACTCACTATTCTACTACCTCCTGCAGAGTTGAAAATGTTTGAACTATTTTGTATCAGTGAAAAATACAGGTGAAAGATAAGAATAAATGGGGAAAAATCCCTTTTTGATGTTGTCAGCATAGTGATTTTTTTGGTTAAGACTCATTGGTGAATTGAATAAATCTAGTTATTCACGATGTGGAATAGCACTGCTCTCATGGGTAGCTACCTCACCAAAAATATCTTAGGGTGATAGTAGTTTTTTACTTATTTCCCTCTTTTAATGTACCCTAGGGAAAAGATGTGACATGCTCAGAGTTTGTCTTCTGCCTTTCAGACCGCCTCTTGCCCATGCTTTATTTACCCGCAGCTAGATTTAACTTCATCTCGTGTAAGCGGCAGGCTGGGTATCTGCTCTCTTCACCTACCTGTTGCCATTTCCCCAAAGGGCAGGTTAGGTAAAAATTAGTATTTTGCCACTCTCTGATTAATTTTATTTTAGTTCGCACTTTAACGTGTGCAGGTATGACCTTAACTGGGCTTCTGCTTTTAAGCCTTTTATCCGTCATTATGGAATGCATAACTTGACCTACTGCAGAAGTTTCAACTTCAAGCAAGTAAGGAGTGATTATTTGTTTTAGTATTATTGTTCTTAAACTGTGCCTGCTTTGGTAAGGCCTGCTTTGAAGGATATCTGATTTAGTTTTTGTTTTGTTTTCAGTCTGTCTTGGTGCTGTGGGTACTAGAGGTAGGCAGCTAGTTTCCCTTCTCCTTGGAAGAACATGTGAGGTTCATGTCTAGGAAACACCAGGGCCTCTTTATTTCTACTTTTACTTTATCTGAAGGTTTTTCCTTGTCCTGTGTTTGCAGCAAAGGTTATCTGTTGCCTTCTGTCCCTACCCTACACTTGAGTTCTTCGCTTACCTTTCCTGACCCTTTCCCACATCTCTACCTTCCTAAGTGAAGAGTCCCATGTAGACTTTTTTTTTTTTTTTTTTTAAAGATTTTATTTATTTGAGAGAGAGCAAGCACAACCAGGGGGAAGGGGAGAAGGACAGAGGCAGAGGGAGAACCAGGCTCCCGACTGAGCAGGGAGCCCAGTGCAGGGCTGGATCCCAGGACCCCAGGATCATGACCTGAGCTGAAGGCAGACACTTTACCAATGGAGCCATCTAGGCGCCCCTGTTTTTACTTTCTGTTAGGGAATTCTGATGAAGTATGTCATTGTAGTGCAATATTTTTAACAGAGGTATTAATTTACATTTATTTTTCACTCATGAAGGTACACAGAGGAGACAATGGCTTATGTTCACTTCTGCCTAGAAGGTAGTAATTTAAGGACTATTCTAGAAGTGGGTTCTTGAAGCCATTGATACTGCAAGTATGTTTTGCTTTGACACTTTGCCCACCCACATTTTCAAAGAGTCTTCTTGGAGAACTCAGCATTGAGTCAAAATTCTTCATTAGTTTCTGAAATCAGGTCCTGATTTGCTCTCATGGTTTTTTAGTCCTTAACTTACCAGCCCTTCTGCATTTCCTTGAAAGATTTTGGTTTACAGGTTTTAGTTCAGCCACTCTATTTTAGATCAAATCTCTATTTTAAGTTTTCTGCTTGAAGAGACCCCATGCCAACACGTAGAAATAAAACTTCCCTGTATGCTCATAGTACCATACCAGCTGAAAGACTGGGCTGTGGGAGGTTTCTTATCCCTGACAAGTGTCCTCAGGCTACTGTTGGAGGAGGTAGAGTTGGGGTATGGCTAAATTGTATCAGGACTTTAAAGATAGGGACCTGGAAACATTCATTTGATTCTGGAGTTTGTAGGACTAGAAGTAAAACTTACTTACCTTCCTCTCTCTTTCTCTCCTATTCCCCAAGCCCCTTTAAAGTTACTATTTTGAGAGTTGCTTTTCATTTGTCAGTTTCTCATTTAAGCATAACAACAATTCCATGAGTTATTTTTATCACCATTTTACAGATGGCTAAACGGAAGCTTGAAAAGAAACGGCAGCTTGGAGGCTGTGCCATAATTTGAATGTGGCTCTCTTTTTCATATACCACAAGATTAATTTCCTACTCTTGAAATAAACTGAATATCTATGTGATATTTTAAAAATTAAATTACCTCCTTGATTACAGCCTGATTTTTAAAAAATTAAAAATAATTATATATATATTTAAAGATTTTATTTTAGGGAGAGGGAGAGAGTCCACAAGCGCACGAGCAAGGGGAAGGATGGAGGTGAGAGAGAGAATCCTGGGGCAGACTCCCCACCTAGCAGAGTCTGACTCTGGTCCTGTCCCAGGACCCTGAGATCATGGTCTGAGCCAAAACCAAGAGTCAGCTGCCTAACCAACTGAGTGAGGCACCAGGCACCCCAGTAGCCTGATATTTTAGGTAGAATTATTTAACTTGGCCAGTTTTCAGGGTAGATAACATCAGAAGTTAAATATTTGTATAAATATGTTTAAAATTTTATAGTTGTAATTTCATTTTAAGCTACAACTATAAATTTAAATTTTATGTATTTCTATATTAACCATTTTGGAAACTGGTTTGCCATTTGGTTTGCCCCATGAATTGTTGATTGTATTTCTTCAGACAGAACAATGTTAAAAATACTTAATGACTTTTTATAGTTAGGAAACTTTGGGATGTTCTTTGTTATCCTAAAATTTCAAGGAATTTTAAGCCTAGCATTGTATATATACTACATAGGTGAGATTTGATTCCTTGGTGTTGGTGATGCTGTTGAATTAGATGAAATGGTCATCCCATTGTAAATGCTATGGTGCAGTGAAGCTCTAATAACTGTCAATGTAAAGTAGGCGTTTTCCTTCATTCTAAGCCATTAAGTGACCTGGGTTTGACTCATAGATGTTTGACTTGTGCTATTACCTAATAATACTGACAGGAAGAACTGTTTTGCTGAAACATTAGGAAGCCACCCTACGGTCATAGCCATAGCAGTATTATTGACTTTGGCCATGTTTCAGAACATTTTGTTGTACCACATTTAATTCTGCTTGTGATTTTTTTCTAGACGAAGATGAATTTGTTCATTTGCTCTTAGAGTAGCAGCCCCTCTACTTTGTCATTCCATATTTTGTCTCTAAAAAATCAAAAGTGCAGGCAAAGAAACCACTCTAAATTAGCTTAGAAAGTAAGAGTAGAAACAAATTATATTTGACAATCTAAAAATCATGGCTATAGAAAAATTGACACTGGGAGAAAATAGAGTTAAAAAAGTCTATGAAGGGAATGGAAATGCAGTGCTAATGATTTTGATGAATTTCTCACATCCTCAGTTAGTAATAGTTTCCTTTTGTTCTGCTAAGCTTAGGAAACTCCTCTAACTTGTCCTTCATTTCCTGTCTTGGAGAATGGGAGTCCCTAAGCCAAAAACCTGGGAGCTGTCCTACCATCTGCCCTTTGCTTCCAGTTGATCACCAAGTATGACCAGTTTTACTCATTCAATTCTTAATTTGCCCTTTTCCAGCATGTCTCCTGCCCTGTGTGCTTTCTTCACCTCTGTCCCACTGCACTCCCCTTATAAGTCTTTGTTTTTGGTCTTCCCAGATACCCTCATTTCTCACCAGGTTTAACCTGTAAGCCTAGCTTATTTTGTGTAGTCAGTTTGGGAGCTTTATCCATCCACCCAAGTCCATTCTTCACAGTGTTCCCGTTCTTTGCAAAATGCGAACTTCCTCATGGCATTCTTCTGCCTAAAATCCTTTGATGGTTTCCCACTGTTTTCAGTGCAAAGTCCAAACTCATTTGCATGGTTTAACAGTGTTTTTTGCTCTTAGATCACTCTTGTGAGTCATGAAATCTCTTTAGTGGTCTGTGACCCAACATTATATATTTTTATTAAAGTGAACTAGGATAAAATAGGATAGCAGTGTCTGAGTACATCACATGTAATAAGGGCAAATATTTCATTACATTTTTTCCATTATATATTTCATATAATGAATATAAAACATGTCATAAATTTCTGTGTATACTGGTGAGGTCGTAAAATATATTTCTTGGAGATGAGTGTGCTCAAAAGGTTAAACATGTTTTACTCCGTTCTACCATATGCAGTGACTCTAGTCATTTGTCTTTTTAGGTTTTCTCTGCCTGCTTCTATACTTTTGCTTATTTCTCTTCCTTGTTCAGAAGAGCCTCCATTCTTTGTAATTATTTATTTATTTATTTATTTATTTATTTATTTATTTATTTATTTATGATAGTCACACACACACAGAGAGAGAGAGAGAGAGAGAGAGAGAGAGGCAGAGACAGAGACATAGGCAGAGGGAGAAGCAGGCTCCATGCACCGGGAGCCCGACGTAGGATTCGATCCCGGGTCTCCAGGATCGTGCCCTGGGCTAAAGGCAGGCGCCAAACCGCTGCGCCACCCAGGGATCCCCGAGCCTCCATTCTTTGACTAGCTAACTTGCACTTTCCACTCTCTCCAGACATCTTTTACTCGCTGTAAGAAATACCTTTTGTACTACAACCTAGTATACACATAAATATTCCCATAACTGAAAAAAGTTCCCTGAACCAACATCCTTCCTAGATGAGGTGCATTCTTGTTCTTGCCCTCTTGCCCTCTATCTTACCTTGTCTTACATGGTATGGATCTTGTCTGTTTATTAGTCTGTCTCCACTGAGGATGAGGCCCATCTCTTTTTTGTCTGTATCCTGTGCAAAGGCATAGTATATAGTCAATAGATGTTAATTCCATTAATAAGTACTGAATTGGTGTATGTATGTTATCTAGAATGCTACAGTATGGTTGTTTAAGCTTGAACTGTAGAAACTAACTTTTATGGTTGATTCTCTTAATGTTTCATTATAGGAGGATAACTTTTTTCCTTAAAGCATTTTAAACTAAAACTTGCTTCTATTTTAAACTCTTTATGTTTATCAATTGTGATTGGATAGTTCCAGCCTCACATCTTGAGGGACATTACATTGCATTTTGTCTCATCAGTGATCTCAGAATCTGTTGTCATTTTGTGATTTGTGGTCAGGGAGTTTGATGAAGCCCAAATGTTGGACACACAATACTAATTTGATTTTATGGGCACTGGGTGGTTTCAAAAGAGAAAACTTTCCTGTATAATGGTAATCAAATGCAGATTTTGGGGGGATGGGTAGGATATGAAAACACAAAATCAGGTGGAGTTGAACCATCTTATTTCTGAATTTAAAACTTTTGTAATTGACATTTTCATGAAATATTGAGTGACTTACAATTTTTATCTTTGTAAGAGATTATTTGTCTAAACAATTAATAGATTCTCATGGAGAACTCTCATTGAGGAGAGATCCAGTTGTTGGGATGAATGAATTCTTAAAAAAAGAATGAATCAAGATAAAACCTCTAAATGCAAGTACCAGAAAAATTACAGCACATCTTGGTGAATTTGCAAGTGGTAAGTCTACATTTAATTTTACATGGGGATATGTTTCTGTATTATGTGGCATAGTATCATCAAAATCTTATTTTTAGATGCATGAAACAATTGTTCATTTGTAGAAAAAGATAATTGTAGTTGCATTATGTTTATTTAAAATTTTTCATATTAAATTTTAGCTAGACATTTTCTTAAATAAGAAATTTCTTTTTCCATAGAGAAAAGTAATCTAAGTAATATGAATTTCAGAAACATCCTCCTGAAATACAAATCTGATATGGATTTACAGCTGATGCTTCTATACTGCATTTTAAAAGATATTAATTATATTTTTATTCTTATTTTTAAAAAATATTTTAAAAGCATTTAATCTTAGGGTGATAAATTTAGTGGCAAAGAGAGGCTTAAAGTAAACATCTTGTGTAAAAGGTTGTAGTGTCTAATCAGAACCTCCTCAGCTACCTTTATTTTTCAGTTGGTTGAAAAGAATTTAGAAGTGCATATGTTTATTAATAAACTTAAAAGAACAAATAATCTATACATAAAATGTGAAAGCTTTTCTTCTCACTCTCTTTCCTTCCTCAGCTCAGTAATAACCACTAGTGTTAACAGTTTGGTGGATGTGTTTTCTTTTATATTTTTTTCTGTACATATTGAGAAATTATTTATACATATTTTTTTTAACAAAGAAAGAATCATGTTATATAAACTTTTCTGTAATTTGTTTTCCCCTCCAATGTTGAATTATGAAAAATTTTAAGCAGAAGAGTTGAAAAAAATTTGTGGTGTAATATCTGAATACCTATCACCTCGATTCTGCAACTCATATTTTATTAAACTTCATCACATGCTCATCCATCTCTCTGTCTACCCGTCAACCCACTTTATTTTTTTTTTTTGGATCCATTTCATACTTAATTGCAGACATCAGTACATTTCTGCCTTCCGCCCCCTCCCTGATATTTCAGCCTACATATCATTAACTAGAGTTCAATGTTGGTATATGGGGGTTTTTAAAGGGTAAATTTACATACCATGAAACGCACCATTCTTAAGTGTATGTTTGCAGACTTCTGACAAATTCACAACCTGTGTGCCTCAAATTCATACCGAGATGGAGATCTTCATGAGGGAACTGGAGTGTTCCCTTATGCCTTTTCCTAGTCTCTCCATTATTCCCCTCTCCTCTAGGAAACCGCTGTTAAGCTTTTTTCTCATAACTTCTTTCTTTCATTCAACACTATGTGTGGGTAGCCATATGCAGGTCTAGATATACCTCCTTTTTTTCCTTTCTTGTTTTCTTTTAAAATTATAGTAGCTTGGAAATAGCTTGACACTTTGGATGTCTTATAATTTATTTGACCATTCCTTCCCTCTTCATGAACTTTGATGTTGTGCCCAATTTTTGTGATTACAAAAAGCACCATGTGGAACACCTTGAATGGGTACATATCTCTACACTCTAATGAGTACTTTGGTAGCTGTTACTAGAGATAAAACTGCTGGGTGAAAGAGTTTGATTTTTTTTTTCCTTTTTTTTTAAAATTTTTATTTATTTATGATAGTCACAGAGAGAGAGAGAGAGAGAGAGAGAGAGAGAGAGGCAGAGACACAGGCAGAGGGAGAAGCAGGCTCCATGCACCAGGAGCCCGACGTGGGACTTGATCCCGGGTCTCCAGGATCGTGCCCTGGGCCAAAGGCAGGCGCTAAACCGCTGCGCCACCCAGGGATCCCCAGAGTTTGATTTTTTAATAGATCCTACTAACTTGGCCTATAAAGATGATTGTATCAGTTTACACGCATACCAGTAATGAATGAGCATGTCCTTTCCTCCATGCTGTCTCATCATTGGATAATCATCTGTCTTTCAAAAATTTTGTGAATACAAAGGATAAAAAACACACCTAGTTATTTCATATTTTCCTAATCAATAATGATTACCCATTATTTTTTTTCCTTTGTGAATTGCTTCTCTGTGTATTTACTTTGTATGCCTCTTACCTGTCATGTATTGTAATGTTTTTTTGAAAGGGATACTTTGTCTTTTAATTTTGCTTGCAGTAAGTTTTAGGTTTCAGAAATTTTAATATTTATGTGGTCTTGTTGGAGATGACTTCCTCATTTCAAGATTGTAAAACTACTTGCTATTTTCTTCTACTAGTTTTACTTTGTATTTGAAATTTAGAAGAGAAAAATCACTGTGAACTGAGGTGGCAGGAAAAATTTGATCTGGAGAGTGAGATTTAAATTGACCTTGAAGTATGAATTGAATTTAAATAGAGTAAGCAAAATTGTAGGGACATTTCAGATAGGAGGGATGAGAGAAGGAATACTTTTTTAATATTTATGAAACATTCATAAGGCTGATGTGGAGAATCACATAAAACTGAGTTTAAAGAGAACATTTGGCTAGATTTCTTGTAAATCATTTTGGCTAATTTCTATCCTTTCCTAAATTTTGCCTTTTGATGTTATCGTTTTCTGTCCTTTAATAGTTTTCCATCCCTTTCTTTTCATAGTGATTCTAGTATTCTTCCTGAGGAAAATGCGTAGTAAGATTTAGTGGCCTAAAAAGGCAAGAAAGGAAAGCTAGTTTCCTCCTAGAATAGTTTGGACACTGTAAATATTTATGTAGTCCAGTTTATTAGAGTTGAATTATAATATCTTAAAAAAAAAAACAGTTTGTGCTGTAGTAATTTACATCATTAATGAACTTAGTCACAGCACTCAAGTAGAGTCACCAGATAGCAATCTTAAAAAATGTTGAAGTACCAGTATGTCCACTAGTTACATCAAAGTTTGAGTTATGAACTCACCTTTTAATGTATAAATTAGCATGTTAGAATCTCCAGCTAATGAAAGTATTTTACAAATGCCATCCTTAAGACCCAGCAGCAGCACTGTGTTCAGTTTGATTGTTGCTCAGGATGTGTAATAGTTTCTGTTCTGCCATAAGCCACGCCTAGTAGATATTAACTGAGTGGAGTGATTCTGCAACTCTACCAGTTATGTGTTTCTGGTTGTAATCTGATTTGGAGCTCTTGGAAGACTACTGTTTGCTTCTCCGCAATCTAGCTGTAAAGCTTATGTGGCATTAATTTTCACTAATCAGGTATTTAAAAAAGAATTTAACATCTTATTTATTCTTTGTTCTATTTTTCTGTTCTTTACTTCTCCTTGGGGATGCTTGTTCTTTTAGGGCTTGCTGTCTACATATGCTTACATGCAGGAAAATCAGACACATTTGACTCTACCTTTCAGTATCTAGTATTTTCAGTTGTGAGGAATCTCATAAGAAAAATTTGTTATTCTTTGGTGGAGGAGAATACATATAGAGTTCAAAAAAATTAATGAGTATTTGCTAATTCTGCTACTTATTTTGCTGGCTTGTAGGCTTCTCTGTTTCTAATACTAATAAATTTAGAAATAAATAGTGAAATTATTCTCTAATTATTGGAATTCATAGTCTGTTTTTTTCAGTCCTGACTGGAACTGAAACATTACAAGAAAGAAGGTACATGAAGTTAATAATATTGAACATGTTGAGAGACAGAGCCTTCTGTCATTTCTTTTGGCACTTGATGGTTGGCAAGGCTGTAAAAATAAACATTCTTTTTAATGTTTCTCATTTTAGCTATGTAGACAGCTTATCATTTGTATTTGAGCTCCTTTAGTTTTTAAAACAATGATACCCAGTAAATTAAATAGCACACTTTATCCTCTATGACTTTCCTCACTTTAATGATACTGATAGGTATTTTAATTTTCTAATTAAAAGGTGATGAAGTTCAACTTTTACTTTTTTAAAGGCTTAGGCACTATTTCTATTTTAAAATTCATACATAAGTACTAATTTAGACCATATCTGATTTAAACAGTTGGGTGGTGTTGCATTTGGTTTCTTGTCTTTTTTTCCTGCTGCTCCAGTATTTGCATGTTCTAAGGATGATAGGATCAGGGTATTACTTTAAAATTAGCTAATCCTAAATCATTTTTCTTTGTTCTGGTATCTTTGTAGCTTTAAAGAACATTGGCAACGCCCCTAAGGGGTGAGATCCTGAGGCTCTCCCAACTGATGATAGTGAGGGATAGAAGATGAAAATCTGGAAGTCCTTCTTGCCTCATTCCTCTGTAACCCCTAATATCCAGTCAGTTAGTAAAACATACTATTGTTTTGTTAACTATTGTTAACAATTTCCTCAGTTGATCTCTTCTCCAAACCTAATTTTGGCTTTTGTCTTTCCTTAGTCTAACTGATCTTTAATTTTACCCTTGACACCAGAGTTTCAATAATTTATTGAAGTATAAATCTTATCATGTTCCTTTTTTAGTAGCTTTCCAATGCCTAAGAATGAAGTCTCAGCATTCTAACATGACATCTTTGTGTCTTTCATGTTGTAGCCCCTTCTCACCCTTCATGCTCCACTGTACACATTATGACTTATGATGGCAATTTGTAATACCTCCTACAATTTTTGCCCTTGTATGCTTCCTGATGTTCCTTCTGTTTGCAGTGTTGTTGCCACTTTTCTTTGCTTGGGTAACTTTTACTCATCTTTTAAAGCTGAACTCAGATTTCACCATCTATAGGGAGTCCTGCCCAAATTTAACTTGTCCCCATCCTCCATGCCTCTGGGGCCATCTTGTCCACATATCTGGACCTTAACATGTTCTATTAAACCCAGTTTATGACTCTTCCACACTAGACTGTTAGTTACTTTAAAAAAAGACCACATCTCATTCCTCATTGTATCTATAATAATTGGTATGTTGTGGCTCCATGAATAAATTTGTTGAACTGAGGTCAACTCATTGCCCTAACATTGAAGTCTTAGGGAAGCTTTTGGATCGGTGGTCTTTAGATATCAGTCAGCTCTATCAGAGACACATGGGGAACATTTTAAAACATTTTATTGGTTTATGAGCTTTACTCCATAAAGAATTATAATTCAGTAGATCTGGAATAGGACCCAAGAATAAGGTATTTTTAAAAAGCTCCTCAGTTGACTCTGATTTGCCTACAGATTTGAGAAACATTGTCCTACTTTATTATTGTATTATTCTATTGTATTTAATGGGAAAAGTGCCCCCTTGACCTTACAGAGTAATTTCTATCTACTAAGGTAGGCATATATTTTAAATCACTCTTTTGGTACCATGAAAATAGAATTATCCGGGAGATTGATTTTGTTAACACTCATATGGAAAAGTCCCATTTAAACAGGGGTCTTCTTGAATTGATAGTAGTAAGATTAGTAGGGCTTAGTTCTGTGAATTTAAATATTTTTTGGCAGTTTTGTGGTTACTTTCTGGTTATCATAACTTTTCAAAATGACTTTTTAAGGCATTGTATTGTGGTTTAAAATTGCACAAATCTTAAGTGTACAGAACAGTGAACTTTTACATATGTGTATACCCAGGTCAAGATACAGAACAATTCTAGCCTCTCAACGTTTTCCTTATGTCCTTTTGTAGTTAGTAACACCCCTCCCACCACAAGAGGGACGTGTATTACCAAGTATTTTGACTTGTATGACCATCAGTTAGTCTAATGATTAAAACTGCTAAACAATTTCGCACATATCTTCTAATATGTGTCTCCTTTCTCTTGGGTTTACACGTGGAATTGCTGGGTTAAGGACAGACTTGTGTTTAGCTTCAGAAGGTATTGCCAATTTGTCCTCTATGATAGCAATTCATAGTGAAGATTGGAATTAAATTAGTTGAAGCTCATGATGAAATTTGACTATCCTGAAACTTCTTTTTGTATTCCAATGTGTTTCCTTTTGTCAAAAACATACAAAGAAAATTCGGTGTCATTTTATAGTTGCCAGTAACATAGTTTTGTCTTAGTCAAGTACTTTTTTCTACAGAAGTAATTTTTTCCTTTGTTACCTCTCCTTAGGATCGTCATTCCTTGTGGGTTGGCAGGCAGTTGTGGGACTGCAAAAATGGGTCTCCGGATTCACTTTGTTGTTGATCCACATGGTTGGTGCTGCATGGGTTTGATTGTCTTTGTCTGGTTATACAATATTGTTTTAATTCCCAAAATTGTCCTCTTTCCTCACTATGAAGAAGGACATATTCCAGGCATATTAATAATAAGTAAGTTTCTGATCTTTATTTCTTTATATAATTAGTTTTCTCATTGTGAATATTTTTGGCGTATAGTATCACTGTGATAACCTTTCTTTTAATATTAGTGCTGTTAATATTAAGTTACTTACTAAATTGTGGAAGCTTTGAAAAAGACTGGATTTTATATACTTTGCAGGGTTGGATATGTGTGGGATCTCCACATCTAACTCTGCAAAAGATTTAAAGGTTGTTTCGTTTAAAATGAAACTGACACAATAGTGCTATTTTGTGTGTGTCTGTGTGTATTTTAAGTGTTTCTATTATGTACTTATTTCAAATGTGGAAGGAGTTTTAAGGATGAAGATGGTCCACATTACTGAGAAATGAGAATTTCATGATACAAAAATTATGGATTATGATGTGGATTATGGTGACACTGAACTCTTGGATAATTTTCTCCTATAGTTCATTTGGTGATGGCTTGCTTATGATTAAAAGAATAAGATTGAAATGAAATATTTTACATGTACATGGCATTTAGTTTCCTTGTACATTATGTCATTTTGGCCTCACAAGTGCTGTAGGAAATATAATCTCTGTTATACAAGTGGTAAAACTGACCAGTACCATGCAGTCCATTCTGGTGTTAGCATTCAAACTAAGTTTCCTATTACGGGTGCACTGCCTTCCTCCCTCTTCCCACCAAATGCCTATTTTTTTTTTTTTTCAGTTAAAATGTAGAATTATAAGGAATGAATCTATTTTTCCTTACTGTTATTTTTCTAACTATTCTTTTAAAAACTCAAAATTTCTAGGTTCTTTATTTTCACATTACATCAATATCTTAAGATCTATTGAAAGGAGCAATTGGATGTAACTAACTCAAAATAATTTTGAAGATAGCCTGTTAGAGGTGATGAAAACGTATAATTGTAGGATGGGTTTTAAAATGCTGCTTTGATTCTGTCAAATATAGTACTTTTAGTAATTAAAAGGGTGCTTATTCATTTATGCCATTATTGACAAGGAATCTCTGTTAATAAAAAATATGATTTATAGCAAATTTATCAGTTATGCAAAATAATATTTAACATTAATATGTATGAGACAGTCTATTGGCTGTATTATTTGATGAATGAAATGAATTAGTATTTAATTATTTTATTTAGTCATTTAATTTTTCCATTTTATTTTTTGAAAATTATTAATCCTGATGGCATTATTTAAAACATGCTTTTAAACTTTCAATATACTTTTTGATAAAATATTTTGAAGAATAAATGACTAATTTTATTTACTTAACTTTCTTATTTATTTCAAAGTATTCTATGGCATTGCCATATTTTGTCTGGTTGCATTAGTGAGGGCCTCATTTACTGATCCAGGAAGACTCCCTGAGAACCCTAAGATTCCACATGGAGGTATGGCACTCTTCAGATTGATCACTTTTGTTCTGCTGGCATTATTACCTTTGTGAATGTATTTTATTAGCCTTTAGCATGTATTCATTATAAAGTCCTCTAACACCATTCTCAAGTCTTTTCTCAAAAAATGTTTCCTTTCTAGACTTCTTTATTTAAAATTGCAAATCCCAGCTGACCCTGGTATCCCCCAATCCCTGCCTCCTTGTAGTTTACCTGTTTATTTGGTTTTCTCTTCTCCCACCCTAGACCTACATAATAGCCTCTGTGAGGGTGTAGAGTTTTTGTTTTGTTTTCTTCATTTGTTCTGTGCTCTATCCTTAGTGCCTATCTCTGTCACAAGTAAATGCTTGTTGAATGATATATAATTACCTGATATGTTTTTATTTAAAAGGATTCTTTTTGATGGTATCCCTCTCTTTGTGATATTATAAATTGAATATTGCTTAGAGTAAATATTTGTAGTATAATGACACAATTGCCTACATTTTTCCAAGTTTTAACAATTCAGTGAAAAAATTTGAAGGCTTTTTATTCTAGTGTCTGTTGAAGGTAATTTGGGGCCCCCTTATTGCATAATAACCATTTGAGCCACAGAAATGTGGTTCAATACATTGAAAATGTATTGCTTGTTTATTATTATATGCCAGGTATAGTAAACCTCAGGTACTCTCTTTCCTCAGTTGCACTTTTTGATCATTTGCTATATAAGCTTTGAGAACTCCTTGTGCTTTCTTCTAATGAGAAATTTCTGTGACTTTGTTGGACATTAGAGAACCAGAATATTCCCTATAGTACTTCAGTACTTTCCAGCCTTGCCGACATTAGAAGCACCAAGGGAGCTTTTAAAAATGTCAGTGTCCTGATCACAATCCTGTATTAATTAAATCCTAATGTATGGAGGTTGGAGCCAGATATCAGCACTCTTTAAAGATCCCAAGTGATTCCAGTGTGTAAAAAATTGGGGAACCTATTAATTCCTTCTGAAATTAGATTAGTGGCAAGTCACTTAAAGAGCCTCCCTTAAGTTGCTGAGAGCCATTGTTTAGGGACATACTTGGCCTTGCAAGTTTAATGATTAAATGGGAATGATATGACACTGATGGTTATATGACTAGCAATTTCTGAGAACTGTGTCAAATATTTTGCTTCTATTTACTTAGAGAAGCAGTATCACTGTCAGTTTTCGTGTGTGCGCACATGCACACGTTTTGGGGTAGGGAGGGTGGCAATCTGCAATTTGTACCAAATCTCTTTCTTCAAGTAGCCTAAATCAAGGGCTCTCTAACATGTTAATAAACATATTGCCTCCTTCGACTCTGAAACCCAGTGTTTCCAGGAAATTAGAGAAGCAAGCCTTTCCTAACTTAGGACCCATTTCTGACGAAATCTTTAGGTTGCAGCAGTCAGAAACTCAAATGCCTGCATGTATCAGATGCTACAAATCAGTAAGAGAGGCCAACGAAGAACAATGTCATACTGAAAGTCTCCCATCTAAAGGCAGCAGCTACAGTGAAATTGTCATGTAGGCCCAGTGTTCTTAGATCTCACAATTTTTAAAGAGAAAACAGAGAACTGCAGTTTTTAAGAGGAATTTTATGATTTTTTAAAAAATTAGCTAAACATTTAAAAAACATTGGTTTTAATGAATGCCAAATGAATTATGTCCTCAGGACTAATTGAATTGACATGAAAGCGCTGTGTTACCTTTAGCTAATGATGGGAGGGCTCCATGGCATGTTGCTGCTGTTTGGATGTCTGCATTCTTTCTGAACTCAGTTGACATTTGGCCAGTTATTCTTCACTGAGTCCCGAAGACTTACCTTTTGTCCAAATGAAAAAAAAATACATTCATTTATTGTTTTTTAATGTTTCCAAAGTATTTTACTATCTCCTGTCATTTGATCCTCATGGTAATTGCATGAGGTAGGTAGACTGAATAACCCAGTGTAGATTGTTCTGTATAGGTCACACAGCAGGTTGTCATAGAGTGCTGTGACACCCAAATACTTGTCTCCATCCTTTTTTTTTTTTTTTTTTTTTACCACGATCTATATAGAGATGAATAATTTTAGCCCTTTATTCACCTTTGCTTTGATTCTGGGGAAAACTGAAGTTATCATGTGTCTCATGATGTAGGTTTCCTGATTATTTTGCAAATATGGTTTTAACATAGTAAAAAATACAAAATTTTGACTGTGGAAAAAATCGCATGACTTGAGTTGGGGCTATAAAAACTGATATTTATTCATCGTTTTAAAGTTGAGCAGTTTTCATATAATTGAATTCTTTAGAAAAGTAAACTTAAGCCCTAATACTTTTGATTTTAACCATTTAAAAAGAAAGATTTTATTTATTTGAGATTGTGCTAGTGAAAAAGAGAGAGAGAGAAAGAAAGATGGAGAGAGAGCATGAGTGCAGGGAGAGGCTGAGAAGAGGGAGAAGTGGGCTCTCCATTAAGGAAGAAGCCCAACACGGGGCTCGATCCCAGCACCCTGGGATTACAACCTGAGCCGAAGGCAGACACTTAACTGAGTGACCCACCCAGGTGCCCCAGTTTTAAACATGTTTTAATTGAATTAACTCTGAAATATTTTACATGACTTTCTGTTTCTTTTCTTTTTTTTTTTTTTAAATAGAATGACTCACCAAATATATGAGGTCATTTGAATATAAGAGAATGTTTCATTGTCCCACACAAAGATCCCCAGAATTTGATTTTTATAAACTTTTGGGCATGTAGGTAAAATAGTCAAATGAAATCATTAAACATGGATTTATATGATTCAAATTCATCCCATGCATGCTTGAAATATAGAAATATTACTTTGTCATTTCCAAGTGTTATAAAATGATTTCATTCAGTCTCTTAACTTTAAAGAAAAAACAGCTTTATTGAGTATAATTCACATGCCATATGACTCACCCATTTTAGTGGCTTTTGGTATGTCCACAGAGTTGTGCAACCATTACCACAATCAATTTTATTTATTTATATTTTAAAGGAAGCTCTATATCCAATGTGGAGCTTGAATTCATAACCCAGAGATCAAGAGTCGTGTGCTCTATTGACTGGGCCAGCCCAGGCAGGTGCACCACCACAGTCAATTTTAGAACATTTTCATCATCAAGTTCTTAACTTACATATTTGACTTAACTGTTTTTGTCATCATTAGAGGCATTTTGAGTAGAGCAAAATTCAAAAATCTTGAATTTCAAGACTTTTACGTATCTGTTACTGAACAAAATCTTCCAAATTTTAAAAAATGTAGCACCTTTAAAATTTGTGTGATAATGTCCCTTGAAATTTTACCCCAAAATAGCACACATGTAGGGACACATATGCTATTAATGCTCAAAGTCATGTTTTCACTTGTAGTTTTGCTTCCCTCCCCATTTCTTTTATTTTTAATTTTTATTTATTTATTTGACTGAGTGTGTGAGTGCACAAGCAGGGGGAGTGGCAAAGGGAGAGGGAGGAGCAGACTCCCAGCTGAGCAGGGAGCCCAATGTGGGACTCGATCCCAGGACTCCAGGATCATTATGTGAGCTGAAGTCAGATGCTTAACTGACTGAGCCACCAGTCCCCTCCCTCTCCATTACTTATATTGCTTTTTAAAGGAGATCTGTTAAAGACTTACTGCCATTTATTTTCTACATTGTCAAGTGATTCTGTCAGGAAACCTCTGTAAAGAGCCAAACGTATTGATTTTCATAGTTTCAAGTTATATTTTCCTCCCTAAAACATTATTTAGTGTTTTTTAAATACAGTAATTGAGAAGGTCTAATATGCAAGTTTTTTAAAAGTCTGAAATAGAACGTGATTACTTTCTTTCTGAGGGATAAGTAAAACAAAACCAAATCTTGCTTTGTATTTATTCATGCATTTACAGCATTAAGAGGATCCATGCTACACAATGTGATACTGTGATACTATTTACTTAGGTCACTTAGGTTTACCGAGTCATTTGTGGAGTTTGTCTTTTATTTGCTTTATGTTTTGATTTTTCTTTTCGTTAAAAAAGTCACTTTTCAATTGTTCTTTTCTTTAAAATTTTTCTTTCCTTTAAAAAAAGCCAGTTGTCAATTTTTCTATAGCTATCATAAATTAGCAATTGATTTCCCTCTGCCATAGGCCTTTTTTTAAATTTAAAATCTTTATTTTAAAAATATATTTATTTTTAAATAAATAAATTAATTAATTAAAATCTTTATTTTCATCAGTTACAGATGGCATTTTGCCTTCTGATTTTTTCCCTATAGGCTTTTATTTTATATTAGATGGCTAGTACAGAAGTCTTCAGACATCAGAATATGTCAGTCACCAGGGCACATTTGAAATGAATAAACCCCAAAGAAGAAAAAGGAGAAGAGCAAGAAATGGTTTATAGATATGTAGGGTAGATTAAGATGGACGGATCTTTTTTCTTGCTATACAAGGCAAAAACATAGATGCTACTTTAAATTTCTAGATATTGGGATCCCTGGGTGGCGCAGCGGTTTGGCGCCTGCCTTTGGCCCAGGGTGCGATCCTGGAGACCCGGGATCAAATCCCACATCGGGCTCCTGGTGCATGGAGCCTGCTTCTCCCTCTGCCTGTGTCTCTGCCTCTCTCTCTCTCTCTCTGTGACTATCATAAATAAATAAATAAAAATTAAAAAAAAAATTTCTAGATATTTAAAACGGTGATTTTTTTTCTCCTCTAAACACATAGGTGTGTGTGTGTGTGTGTACGTGTGAGAAAATGTGAGTTTTCAAAGCCATTTTAGATACTTGTATAGTATCCTAAATTTAGCCAGTAGAATGGCTCAGGCTCTTTCTTTAAACAAATTTATGATCTAGACCATAGATTGGCAAACTCTTCTTTACTGTATGAGTCCAGATAGTAAATATTTTCAGCTTTATAGACCATACAATCTCTGTCACAGCCCCTCAGCTCTGCCATTGTAGCCCCAAAGCAGCCAGAAATAAAATGTAAATGAATGAGTATTCATTTGAACTGTGTTCAAATAAAACTTTATGTATGGCTGGAATTTGAATTTCAAGACTTTTACATATCACACATTCTTCTTATTGTCAATCATTGAAAATTGTAAAAACTATTCTTAGCTCATGAAAACAGGTGGTGGCCTGGATTTATTTGCCTGTGGATTGTAGTTTCTCACCCCGTGGTATAGACTACACAGTTCTAGGCTTTCTTGCACTATAGCCAAATGCTGGCTTGTTTTCTGAGGAGATAACATTTTTAAGTATGAAATAAAGATTTTTACTCTTTAGACTGTTGTATGCTGAAATGACTAATAATGAATACACCATATTTATATTTTAAGGCACTGGTTTAAAACCTAATGGTTTTATATTGTCTTTTAATGAAAATTGGCTTATCAGGGGGAGTCTGCTTCCTGACTATTTCTTGCAATATATGATTCAAAGTTTTAACATTGGGATGCTTGAGAGCATCTCTAGCTAAGTGGGGAAAGAGTAATCTGCTTGTGACATTGTATTGTGCTACATATGAAATGAGTTTTCATTTCACTTGCAGTTAAACAATATTAGTTTAGCTGTCTAAATTAAATAATGTTGCTCTTTCATGTAAGTTTTTATTAAAATAAGAACTGTGAATAAGAAATAAAGCAGGATCTTAACTCTAGAAAACAAACTGAGGTTGCTGGAGGGAAGGAGGGTGGGGAGGCTATGTTGAAATGTGTGATGGGTATAAAGAAGGGCACTTGATGTAATGAGCACTGGGTGTTATATGCAACTCATTAATCACTAAATCCTACCTGTGAAACTAATAATATAGTATATGTTAACTAAATTGAATATCAGTAATTAAAAAATGAAATTTTAAATGCAAATGATAATTTCTCAACATTCAGTATTATTGGATCAATGAATTTGATATTATTATTATTGATATCTTCTGTAGTAGAGTTTTTTCCTAATACTTCACTATATAAAATTCCAGTATATTAATTTTACTCTTGGCCATTAAACTAAAATAATGGAATTAAAATAGGGTATCTTTTTAGAAAATGGAATACTATCTACCATTATCTTCTTTTACTTATATTTAAAATCTGTCATTTTTTAAATTCAAACTTCTCATACTTTAGCAAGCATTTAGTGACTGCCTATTGTGTGCTAGGTTCATAGTTTGCATATACTAATATTTACTCAATATGGTAGCTAGGCTTTACTACTATTACTATTACTATGCCCATGCTTTTAACAAGATTAGAGTATAGTTTAAATATAAGTGATGGAGGGTTTAAGAATTTTGTAAAAGTAAAATTCCATTTCAACAAATATTAAAGAGATACATTCTGAATAATAAAGCAGTTGTCTTGGTAGATGACTTTCATATAGTTCTTAAAGATCTGATTAGAAAAAATTATAATGAAAATAAATGACTTTCTGTAAACTTAATATTTTTGGCACAAAACTTAAATGTGTGATTTTTAATTACAAGGTAGAGAAAATTGCTACTCGGTGGTAAGAAAGAGTTTTGTAAAGAACTCCCTTATTTTCATTAAATAATAATTCTCTCATAATCTTCTTCTGAAATCATTCTAATACCTCTGAAACCCTTTTCTAACCCTTTCCCACAAACACTCCCAAATGAATTCTCTGTTATTAAAAATATAAAACGGTTATGGGGTGGGAATGCTCTCTCTTTTCTAATGAGTTTATAGGACTGATTTTGACTTCTTAATGAAACTAGGATTCAGCATTATTTCTTCTTTAGAGTCTTTAGTTAATAAAATTTCTAGAAATGAATTTGTTTACATAAAATTCTTTTAATATAATTTGGTTATACTTTAGGGTTTTGTCATTAAATTTTACTTATAGCAATATACCCCAAACCCAAATACATTATTTTCTGTTCCTTAGTTTGACTATTAATAGTGTTTTACTATTAGTGTTTAAAATTAGAAATGTATAGAGTAAGACATGCATCGAAAAGCAATATTTGGGTGGGGGATGGAGTAACTGGGTGACAGGCATTAAGGAGGGCACATGATAAGATGTGTACTGGGTGTTATATGTTGGCAAATTGAATTTAAATAAAAAAAAAAGCAATATTTGTGGCAAACTCTTTTACGGTGAAGATGTAGAAGAAGAAAAGTCTCTTGGACATATATATCAATGACTTCTATAAAATCTAAACTGCTGTTGCTAAATTTCAACATTAGTCATTTGCCTTTATTAAATGGATTTTAATTTCCTTCTCTAGAAAGGGAGTTCTGGGAATTATGTAACAAATGTAATTTGATGAGACCAAAGCGTTCCCATCACTGTAGCCGCTGTGGCCACTGTGTTAGGAGAATGGATCATCACTGTCCATGGTAAGAAATTTATGATTTAATTTTAGTAAAAATATAGTAAAAAATAAATCACAGTACTTAGCAGATTAAAATAAAAGTTATATTAAAGTCATGCAGTTTTTAAAATTCCTTCAGTAAGGATACCTTTATTCTGTCAGGTTCTATCAGCTGCCAAAGTCATTTTTACACACAGATCCTGTCTTTTCTAATAAGGAGATATTCAAGCAGAAAACTGACACTTAGATGCATCCACATGTACAAAAGAACTAAGATGGTTGTATAAATGAGGCAGTGTATGTAAAGCATCTAGTGTAGCATCTTACACATAGAAAGTATTTAAATAGTAGCTGTTATTATTTCTAACTGTAATAAACTGTATACATTGCAAGTTTGTATTTCCCTTTCCAATTGTTTAATTAAATAATAACACATTTCAGAAATGCTGATAACCTCATTTCTCCCCCTGTAAACTTTTTTCAATAGTATGTATTGGACACAAGTATTAAGATTACATGCAAGCTGAGTGTGTATAAGTGGTAGTTAGCCGATTCTGCTGAACTGCCAACATTTTTGGCCAATAGGGGGCTCTCTTGTAATAGTTTTAAAAACAGTTCAGTTGAGGAATAGAATTTTAAAAACAAATGCTGTGAGAATTCTGCATTGTATCTCATTTCAAAGCTGTCACAAAAATCTGTGAACAAGATATTGTATTTAATTCTGTTTTCCTAGCATGGGATCTCTGTATAAATATTTAAACTAGTATAGTGTAGCACTTTGTAAATATATCTAAATACATATATATTTATGTTTGTACACACATACATGCATATATACAAAGTTAACTGCATAATGGGCTTCTTAAATTTATAACTGCATTTATCTATAGTTGACTCAAGGTTGGAGTTTAGTTTTGCCTGATGATGCTGGTCAATTTAGAGTTTCCCATATTTTTGGTAACTTACTCTGATAGCACAAGTTAATATTTGCAAGCTTTTAGTGAAAATTGATTTTTACCATAAGGTGATTATTTAAATAGAAGGTAATTTCCCGAGATTAGGAAAAATAAAAGCATTTTAGATAAAAGCACGTTGGTACTGTATAAAAAAGTTTAAAATTGTCTAAGTCCATCAATAGGATAGTATAGTGTATAATATATAGTTGATGTTTAAAAAAATATGCCTTGAAGTTAAACAGATTAATTCTCAAGTAATTATCTAAACCTGAGTGATCTGTTTATAATAGATTTTTTTTTAAAAAAAAGGCTAGGTGAAACATATATTATTAGGCAAGTGGTAACCACACTGAAAAACTCAATTGTGTAACCTTTTTTAGAATAATGTTTAGGATTTTGACATTAATTACTGTTCTTAGTTACTATTCACTATTTTCAAGGTGGAAGTGTAGCTCTAAGGATTTGTAAGTACTTGCGGATGTATATTTATTTTGAGAAACTAAGAATAGAATTTATTTTTTTAATTTATTTATTTAGAGACAGAGAGGAAGAGAGATAGAGAGAGACACAGAGAGATAGGCGGAGGGAGAAGCACGCTCCTGTGGGGAGCCCCATGTAGGACTCGATCCCAGGACTCTAGATCATGACCTGAGCCAAAGGCAGATGCTCAACCGCTGAGCTACCCAGGTGCCCTTCAGGATAGACTTTAAAAGTAATAAAAATCGGGAGTGCTTAACAGTAATGTCAGCGTGACAGGTTTCTGTCCTCCTACCTCAAATCATTCCGATTGCTCTCCACAGCTGGGTTGTTGTCATAGAAGAGCAATATATAGAAGGTTCTTGTTCTCTTGGCCACTATCACTTCCTCTGGCGAGTGTCTTCACTGCTTTGTTCCTGTTTCCATACCAAAGAAACAAGGAGACTGCCATCTGCTCTTCCTGCCACCCCGGGTGGCTGTGAGTGGAAGGCAGATCATATCCATGGACTTCTTTGTAAAGTAGAAAGTGCTTTCCAAATGTGAGGTGGCATATTTATAGTATGTCTGTTCCTGTGCACTGTTTGCTCATAGGTTTAAGCAGTGTTCCCCTATCTCCATGATGTCCAGCATACGTGAAGATGTTCGCGTTTGTTTTCAGTTTTACCACTCCTGAGGTTATGTCTTACTAAAGTTTAAAATACTGTTTCTGTTTTCCTTTTTTCTTCAGGATTAACAATTGTGTCGGTGAAGATAATCATTGGCTTTTTCTGCAGTTGTGTTTCTACACGGAACTTCTTACTTCTTATGCACTGATGTTTTCTTTCTGCCACTATTATTACTTTCTTCCAGTAAAAAAGCGTAACTTGGTAAGAAATATTTATATCTACTAATTTAGAGTGGCTGTAGGATACAGTTATTAACGTGCGGTTCCTTTAAGTGCAGAAGATTGAAAACAAAAAAAAACAACAAAAATAAACTCCAAACTTGGTGAATTTTAAAATGTATCGGGATAAAGAAACTGCCCTAATCTGACATTCCCTTTTAAACAAATCCATTTTTGATTATTTATTAGGGCTCAATGACTTTCTTTAAAAAGCAACATATTAGATCTTTCAGTGTATATGTTTTGGTTTAAAAATACCTACAATATGAGAGAGTAACTGAAAAATGTTAACTTCTTGTTTCCTTTCAGGAAGAAAAATAGACTTTAATTTTTTTTTAAAGGTTCTTGAAGGAACGTTTTTAAGAAAAAGGACCCCCCCCCCATCCTGGACTTTTAACAATGAAAAGAATTTGCAAGCTCCTTTAAAAAGTTGTTGTTATATATATCATTGGAAACTGTGCTTTTGTCATTTTGTACAGGGGTAACAATAGACCTTAGTAAGGCTTGCCCCAGATTGATGATGGTAGGAGTGATTGTGGTGGTAATAGCAGCAACATGTGTTAAGTACTTGACTATGTAAATGTTAACACCATGCTTGTGGGCATGTTTCAGTTCTCACTTTAATGCATACAACAACCACATGAGGTGGGTACACTTTCCTCCCATTTTTATAAATGAGCAAACAGACTAATAGAGGTTAAATAGGTAGATCATGAAGGCACAAAGCTAGATAGTAATTATTCATATGATTTTAGTTGTAGAGCTGGGATTTGAATCTGATCTTGTGTTGTTGAATCTTACCTTTTGTGTTTTGTGTGAACAGTTGATATTTCAGCCTAGTTTTGTGCATAACTTGGACTTGGATTGTGTTTTTGAGATACCCTGTGCGTGTATGTGTGTATAAGACAGAGAAGGAGGCAGACAGGCAGAACAGAAAGAAAGCATGCACAAGGATGCACTTGCGCATGTGAGGAAGGAAGGTAGGATGGGATAAAGGGACTAAAGACCAGAATCCTCCATGGAGAAGGGGAATTTTTCTTTCCTAGTTATATCATTTAAATCTTAAAAATAACAATTTCAGTGGTAGTACACATAGCTAAATTTTGGAATAGGTGAGAGAAGGGTCTTTCTAAAGAATAAGGTCTTTAAGTTCTGTGTCTTTAGGTCATTTCTGTATATATGATCTTTTTTTTAAATTTTTATTTATTTATGATAGTCACACAGTGAGAGAGAGAGGCAGAGACATAGGCAGAGGGAGAAGCAGGTTCCATGCACCGGGAGCCCGATGTGGGATTCGATCCCGGGTCTCCAGGATCGTGCCCTAGGCCAAAGGCAAGCGCCAAACCGCTGCACCACCCAGGGATCCCTATATATGATCTTTTTAAAAAAGATTTATTGATTTATTTTAGAGAGAGGGAGAATGAGTGAGGGGGAGGGGCAGGGAGGAGAGAGAGAGAGTCCCAAGCAGACTCCTTGCTGAGCATAGAGCCGAATGCAGGGCTTGATCTCAGAACCCTGAAATCATTTTAACAATCTGAATTTACTGACCTGTAGCCAAGACTCAGATGCTTAACTAACTGCACCACCCGTGTGCCCTTCTATATGATCATTTTGTATAATTAAAAGAGAGTATTTGCTATTGTTTGGCTGTGTATATTAGGTGGGGCCTTGTGGTGATTATGCTTATTAAATATAGATCGAGCAATTAATATTAGATACTAATAAGTGAAAAGAGTTCAAAAAGGAGAACTTTAAATATGGATGTTTGACATTTTCACACTGAGAATTTAGTGCATGCTAGTATTGTAGTTTTAGAAATGTTTTATCTCATTTATAGATTAATTTCTGATATAATTGGCATTATAGTTAGAATATGTAAAAGGTTGAACGTATCCCAAGAGTAACCTGTTTCAAGTAATTGAGCCTAATAAGAAAAGCATTAAAATATAGTTGCCCAGTAAGATTAAGGTCATAATTTTTTAAGGTGAGAGGGAGAGAGATAAAATTTGGTCATGTTAATGAAAACTTAGTAGAGGTTCCCTAGGAGGAAATGCATTATAGTATAGTGGAGGGATTGGCAATTTGACCTTCCACCTGTTTTTATTAATAAAGTTTTGCTGAAACGCAGCTACTCTGATTTGTTCCCATATTGTCTGCAGTTGTTTTTAGGCTACAACAACAGAGTTGAGTAGTTGTGACAGGGACATATGGCCCAGAAAACCCTGAAATATTAACTCTCTATATTGAGTTTGCCAACCGTGGTAATAGAATGATCTTGGCTTTGTAAACCGACACCTCTAGGATCAAAGCCTGGCTTTTGTTGTTATACGTATAATCTTTGACACCATGTTTAAGCATTCTGGATTGCAGTGTTCTCTTTTGGAAAATGTGAATAATAAGAGATTAAATGAGATAACACATGTAAAAGTATCGGATATAGAATAGACATTCATTTGAGTTTTTTTAAACATTTTTTTGAGAGAGAGAACACGCACACACGTGTGCAAGTGGTGAGGAGGGGTAGTGGGGGAGGGAGAGAAGCAGACTTCCCACTGAATGAATGTGGAGCCTGACATTATGACCTGAGCCAAAACCAAGAGTGGGATGCCCAACTGAATGAGCCACCCAGGAGTCCCTGGCCTATTAATTTTTATGAAAATTTTACAGATTATTGGATGGTATTGCTGGGAGACTGGTGACAGACTGAAGAAATTTCAGTACTCAAGACAAACTGATTTCCATCTCCAAATGAAAGATAGAAACTTTGGGAAAATTCTGCCAATTACAGGAAGGATCACTCTTTTTTGTTTGTTTGTTTTTTGGGTTTTTAAAAAATATTTTATTTATTCATGAGAGACACACAGAAAGAGGCAGGGATAGGCAGAAGGAGAAGCAGGCTTTCCACAAGGAACCCGATGTGGGACTCGACCCTGGACCCCGGGATCACGCACTGAGCCAAAGGCAGATGCTCAACCCCTGAGCCACTCAGGTGTCCCTGTTTTTGTTTTTGTTTTTTTTTTAACAGGAAAACTGATTATAGGTGATGGTATTTGAATCCTCAGAAATATATGTATTTATAAATATATATTTTATTAAGTATATATTTCATGCATACTGAATGTTGACAAAATGCCCTCAGAATAGTAAACAAACGTTTACTATTAAGAGATTAAAGATGTGGGATACCTGGGTGACTCAGCAGTTAAGCATCTGCCTTTGGCTCAGGGCATGATCCTGGAGTTCCAGGATTGAGTCCTGCATTGGGTTTCCTTCATGGAGCCTGCTTCTCCCTCTGCCTATGTCTTTGCCTCTCTCTCTCTGTGTCTCTCATTAATAAGTAAATAAAATCTAAAAAAAAAAAAAGGTTAAAAATGTAGGAGAAAAAGTGGATATAAAGTGGTTTTGCATGGTATTAGATAAAGGTATGTTTTCATTCTCTGCATGTGGCTGTCCCATTTTCCCAACACTATTTACTGAGGAGACTATCCTTTTTCCATTTTTCTTGATTCCTTGTCAAAATTAATTGATCATATATGCATGGGTTTATTTCTGGGCTCTCTATTTTGTTCCATTGATGTATGTGTCTGTTTTTATATCACTATCATACTGTTTTGATTACTAAAGCTTTTTAATATAGTTTGAAAGCAAAAACTCTGATGCCTCCAGCTTTGTCTTTCTCAAGGTTGATTATTCAGGTTTTTTTTTTTGTTACTCTATACAAATTTTAGGATTGCTCCGTTTCTGTGAGGAAAATGCCATTGGAATTTTGGTAGGGATTGCATTGAAATCTGCAGCTTGCTTGGGTAGTATGGACATTTTAAGCATGTTTCATTCTTACAAACCATGAGCATCGAATAGCTTTCTATTTAATAGTGTTTTCTTCAATTCTTTCATCAGTGGCATAGTTGTCACTGTATAGATCTTTCCCTTCAATAGTTAAATTTATTCTAAGGTATTTTTTTATGCAATTATAAACAGGTTTTGGTGGAGTCTTTAGGTTTTCTGTATATATCATGTTATCTGCAAAGAAAGATAGTTTTACTTTTTTTCTATTTTGGATGCCTTTTATTTTTTTTCTTGCCTTATTGCTCTGACATGCAGTACTAAGTTGAATAAAAGTGGTGAAAGTGGGCATCTTTGTCTTACTCCTGATCTTACAGGAAAAGCTTTCTGCTTTTTTATTACGGAGTATGATTCCTCTGGGCTTGTCATATATGGAATTTATTTTGAGATATGTTCCTTCTATGCCTAATTTTAAGACTTTTTATTATTATTATTATTTTTTTATTTATGATAGTCACACACACACAGAGAGAGAGAGGCAGAGACACAGGCAGAGGGACAAGCAGGCTCCATGCACTGGGAGCCCAACGTGGGATTCGATCCCGGGTCTCCAGGATCGCGCCCTGGGCCAAAGGCAGGCGCCAAACCACTGCGCCACCCAGGGATCCCAAGACTTTTTTTTTTAAATTGTGAATGGATGTTGAATTTTATAGATTGCTTTTTCTGCATTTATTGAGATGATCATGATTTCTTTTTTTCCTCTCCCCCCATTCTAATGTATCAACGTGTATCACGTTGATTGTTTTGCAGATGTCAAACCATTTTATATCCCTGGAATAAATCCTACTTTATCATGGTGTATGATTTTTTAAATGTATTGTTGAATTCAGTTTGCAAATATTTTGTGGAGGATTTTTGCATTTATGTTCATTAGGGATTTTATCCTGTGATTTTCCTTTCTTCTAATGTCTGATTTTGGTATCAGATTAATGCAGATCTTGTAAAATGATTTTGAAATAAGGGTTGGTATTAATTCTTTGAGTGAAGCTCTCTTGTTCTGGACTTTCTTTGTTGGGTGGTTTTTTATTACTGATTCAATTTCCTTCTTAGTAATTGGTCTGTTCAGACTTTCTATTTCTTTATGATTCAGTTCTGATAGGTTGTATGTCTTTAGGAATTTATTCATTTTCTTCTAGGTTG